CTTGTCAAATGTGGTCCCTTCACCTTTGGCTACCAGAAATGCAAACTGGTTAAGTTTACTCTCAAAAAGCGCCTGCTCTGAAGTAGTCAGTATTAGCAGCAGGAAGTGGACCACAACAGGCTCCTGATGGGAAATTTGGACACCACCCTTTGATGGAGAGGTAGCTCTGCCGGCTGGTTGTCATCAGGGACAGAGTGGGCAAGCTTATACTCCCTGGAGAAATCACTCCGGGGCTGCTGTGCTGAGGTAGCTACCAGGAACCCAGCGTGCAAACAGAAAGGCTGCTAAGATGGGGTCAGATGTGAGCCAGAGGGGCAGGGAGGGGAGCAGGGCAGGTCCCAGAGGTCACACGAGTGGACCCTAAGGAGTGAGACAGGTACAAAGCAAAGACAGACAGAGACGCTCTGCGAGGGTTAAACACAGATGGGGAGTAAGGAACGTGGAGAACAGACCGTGTTCCAGGAGGTGGAAGAAAACAACTCCTATCTTGACATGCCGGATTTGAGCTGCCAGTGCGACATCCGAACAGAGCTGTCTCCTCACTGCTTGCTGTGTACGTCAGAAGCTCAGGAGAGAGGTCTGGACAGATTTATACTTGGAAGTCATGTTCATGAGGCTGTGAATCAGTCCTGTCTGGGACACTGATATTTATGGGTAGGAAAGAAGAGGAGGAGCAGTCAACATAAGAGACAGGAAGAGCCCGCCAGAGGCATTGAAGAAGGACCCGGATATGAGGGAGGAGAGCATCTAGAGAGGGGAGTGACTGGCACTTGAAGAGTCTGCAGTAAAAGGTTCCGTGGGCAGCCACAATGAAGTCTGAGGACAAGTCGGCTGCTCAGTGGGAGAAAACTATACTCCAGCGCTGGGAAGTTTTCTAGCTGTCAAATCCCCACAGTGTAAGAAGTTGGCAAATATTAATTAAAACCAGGACTGCTTCACAAAGGACAAATCTGTCCAATGAGGATCAATCTCTCATTAAGTAAAGTGGGGCTGTTTATCTGACACTGATGTTACAAAAGGGCCCTTGCAACAGATCAGCGATCTGCAGGAAGAGGCCCCCGCACAAAGCTTGGAACGCACATATTGGGAGTGCAGTGTTATTTTTTTTTTCTTTAAATTTGTATAAAATTATTTTGCATGAAAGAACAGCGTGGGCCCAGGTCAGAGCTTGCTCACTTGCCCTTTGAGGTCATTGCTGTAACGTTTGTGTCAGAATGTCCTCACCCATAAACTTGGGGAGTATCTCCTGTCCTGTTTCAGGCAGAACAAATGTGTTTGCTAAGCGTTTGGGAGCAGTGAGAGATGGATGGAGATGGTAATGAAACAGGCCAGGCCAGGCAGATCTAAGCTTGGCTTTGCTACTATTTTACTAGGTCAAGTAAGGCCCACTGGTGTTTATATTTAGAGCATTTGGGGTAGATAGGAAGATGCCCAAGATTCTACCCACCTGTGTTCTTTCCAGGCTGTGCCAATCGCTGGGTTTGGGGCAGTCACCATCGCCATCTTCAGGGGTGGGGCAGACAGAAGACCCTGACAGTGTGGGAACAGGGAGGGATCTCACTACTGTGCTCACTTTTGGGTGAAGCTGAGCCCCTCCCTGGCTTAGAGTCACAATCACGAGGCTGAAGGCGGCTGGAATGGGATCTCAAAAGCAGCGTCCTTTGTCTCTGAAAGCCGTGTTCTCCCACCTCGTTATATGGCACTGTGTGCTTTTGCTAGGCATTGTCATTACTCAGCGGAAACCCCTGATGGAGACTGATGGCTAAGACCTGGCTTCGGGACGTCAGGGTCCTGTCCAGGCTCTTCATTGTGCAACACTGGGAAGGTCTCTCCACCTTGGAGGGATGCTCACCTCTGTGTGTGCACAGAAAAGCACCATTCACCCCATGGGCTTGGAGCCCCTGAGGAAGATGCAGTAACGTGAGAAAGAAGCAGGCTGGGAACTGCTGTGCGCACTGCAGGCTGCTGGCCCTGTGAGCTCTGGGGCACACACTCCCCAGCCTGCACAGCAAGGCCATTGCTCCTGATGCCGTGGGCTCGGCGTCTGCAATCCCAGGTAAAATACCCCTCTAAGAAACTAGATTTTCCTTCTCATTCAGTCCAAATATTTAACTTTGAGCCTGCCTCAGCTGTGCTTTGGCAAGGCGTGCTCAGGGAGAGGAGGCTGCTCAGAGGGGCCTCCTTTGAAGTCAGGTGTCCTACAGGGAGGGAGGGCCTGGGCCAAGCACCTGGGGCTGAGAGGCAAGCATGGATTTGAGGCACTCTATGGGCTGCTGACTTCAGCAGAAGGGAGCCAGGGCATGGCCCTGGGCTGTCAGGACATCTGGGTCAGCCCTGGAGCCGCCTTCCAGGGGCTTCCATGTACCCAAGACCTCAGAGGCACAGAAGATGCGCTTTGCATGGGGCTCTATCCAGGGAGGAAAGAGATCTTATTACTGACCCGTAGGGAATTCTTGGGTGCTCCTCACCCTCAGACTCAATGAACTACTCGAGGGAATTTATGCTTCTTGTCCCTGAAACCTCAGAATCTCTGGGCTGGATTTTCCAGGGGGCACACGATTCATTAACTGTCATTCTTTATATTGCTTGAGTCACTTTTGGTCTCTTGTTTCCCTAGACCAGCAGGCACAGAAAGGAGTTGCTGTCCTGGTTTCATCATTAATCCTGACCCTAAGGAGGAAGGGTGGATGTTTTCCAATAGCAAGAGAAGAGCCTCACACCCCCAGATCCGCCAAGACACTCTGGGCACCGCTCTGCCCACTCCTAGCTAAGCGTGCATATTTAAGGTCCTGGTGACCGGAACTGGGTCCCTCTGAAGGGAGAGTCTGTGGAAACAGCCCAGAAAAGCCACCAGAGGAGCAACACTGTCAACCCCACAGGGGCACGGTTGGGTCTAGGTGCCCATTAGACCAGGGAGAGAAGGAGTCTCTCCAGCAAGAGCTGGAGTCATTCCCACTCGCCTTTTTCTAGTATTTTTCCTCAGAAACTGCGACTGGCCAGAATCCTGGAGGAGCCATCCCCAGACCCACATGCCTGAGGCTCAGAAGGAGCAGGAGGAGCAGAACACACTCTGGGCTCTACCAGCAGCACTGTCCAGCTTCCAGCACACTGGCTTCTCCCTTCTCTGGGGAGCTCCACTGATGGCAGCTGCCTCATCAAGGGTGCAATGCGACTCCTTATAACCCTGCGTGTCGCTCCATCTCTTATGCCTCAGCGGGTACCTTGCTCATACAAAATGGTAAAAGCACAATCTCCATCACCTGGTGGCAGGAGCCCCTCGGTGCAGTGACTCCTGCTCTGGGGTGCACCTTGAGATCGGACTGAAGGTGACGCTGGCTCTTCTCTCGTCCAGCCCTGTCCTCCTCACACCTTCCTCCTAAGAGCCCCCTAAACCCCGTCTCTCTCTGTGTGAGGCACCAGCTCAAGTCCATGCTCACTAGGGTGGCATCAGGCAGGGACTTCGTTCTCATTGTTTCCGGTCATCTTCAGTTACACCTGAGAGATCCACACAAACAGGTGTCCCTGTTTTAGAGCTGAAGAAAATGAATTTCAAAGATGCCAAATAACTTGCTCAGGGTTGCAAAGCTCATATGAAGTCTGAATGTTTCCATCCCTCAAGGCCCTGCCTCTTACCCTTATTTACATCTGCTTCTATATCAGTAAATCCAATGAGTAGGGAAATGGCTGGTTTAAGGACACTGAGCAGGCCCTAAGAAGAGAGGACCTGAAAAGGCTCCGGAGAGGCGAGTCCGTGCTCTGGACACCTCTGGATGCACCATCAGCCGAAAACATCTCAGCTAGGCTGAACCCTCCAAAGTGCCCAAGCCAAGGCTGATTAGCAAGAAAGATTCCCATACGTGGAGGGAATTAGAACGAAATGACCCTTGAGGGGCCACCCAACTCAAGACCCTGAAGGATCCACAGCTGTATCTGCATTGCTAATGTCCCATGGATCAGTCAGGCAGCTCTTAACCAGGGAAGGTCTTGTGTCTTGAGTTCTAGATGAGAATTATAGGCAACACAGAGTGAGGGCGTAGCTCAGGCATGGCTTCTAATGAGAAAAGTGCCAACTTTTCCCCCACCTGCTCTCAGAGAGCCGCCTCTCACAGAACATGAAAAGACAATGTAGCCATTTTGACTGGGTGCCAGGCAATACCCTGTGTAGTTTATATCACAGGCTCATGTAATTCTTATAACTACAGGGAAGTGGGCACTGTTATTCCCCTATAACAATGAGGAAACTGAGGCAAAGATAGGCTAAGCATCTAATATTAGTGTTTTCCAGGGGCTATATGATGTGTTGTATGATATAACAACACAACAAATTGATTTTTTTTGTTTGTTTGTTTTGGTACTGTGGATTGAATTCACGACCTCACACTTGCCAAGCAGGCGCTTATGCCGCTGAGCTAAATCCCCAGCCCAACACAACAAATTGCATACAGAAACAAAGATGGCAATCCACCTTCTACTAAGCTAGATATCAAAGAAGTATGTTTCTTCTCATTAATGGCTTTATAAATTACAGTTATTTTCAACAATATGTTACTTATCTCAATATTTATGGTTTGTTATTATTTGAAAATGAAATAATTGAGTACTTAAAAATATTTCTCACTTCCAGTGTACTAAACACTGACAGATAGCTCTACATAAAAGCTATTATGAGGAACTACAGTATCTTTAGGAGTGCGTGGAAAATTTAAAACCAGAGCATTTGAGAGCCCTTGGCTGACTACAGTCTTTAGTGTACCTTGTGCCCACTGCCATGGCCCAGTCTGCTAGACAAAATATGTGCTGTGTCCATCTTTTGGCTGTCAGATGTGACCACAGCTTTGCCCTAATAATTACTCAGCTCACGCATTGCTGCTTTCTAGAAAGAATGCTCTTTTGTACTCGGGTATGTCCTGGGACCTAAATCACTGTATATTTCCTGGGCAGTGGGGGGGGGGGGATTGTCACTCTGGGGTGGAGGATGCCGCCACCTGTGGCAGGCCTGGCACCAGAGGGACCGGGCTGAGAACTGTGAGAATTAGAGGATGAGGTCACCAGGATGCACGGCCGACGAGGGCCTTTTGGGCCCAGGGGTGACCTTGGCCACTGTGGGAAGGCCAAAACACAGAGGAAGTCAGATGTCGCCTGCCCAGCGGCCCAGCTTTCTCATCTGTTTCAGACTTGGTCATGAGGGGTAAATGCCGTAGCTGTACCTCACCACCTCCTCCCTGGAGCGTCCAGGAGTTAGGTGAGCCTCACTCAGCTCAAGGTCGTGACTCAGAGAAGCTGGCGAGGCATCCAGAGACACAGAAACCTTGACAGTCAGACAGTGATTCACAGACAGAGCTCCACTTCGCCTTCTGCAACTGTTACCTTCTCAAAGCTTTCCGTCGGAGAGCTTGAGCAGGCTGGTGCTGCTGGGAAGGTGCCCGCCTCAGAGGTGGCATCGGAAGGTGGTAAGTAACGATTAAAGGCGGGATCCCGGGGTTACTGTTCCCTAAGGATGTGTCTACCGCTTAGTCTTCAATGGCTAGAGGAATTTGTGGCCCACAGGAAGTGCAGAAAATACTTGCTGAGTGAACAGAAAAATGAAAAGGAAGGAGGAAAAAGAAAGGAAGAAGTGAGAAGAAAGGGCAGCATGGGGAGTGAGAGGAGGGGAGGAGGGGGAAGCAGGAGAGGAGGAAGGAAAGAAGGAAGGAAGGAAGGAAGGAAGGAAGGAAGGAAGGAAGGAAGCAGAGGGACTGAAGGTCTGTGACTCTATTCGCTTGTGATACTGTTCTGTGCTGACATATTTAGCACAACTGAGTGTAAGAATAATGCATTTACTCCCCATTAGTTTCATAGAATCTCGGGATTTTGCCTTAAGGGAAGAACGTATTTATGGAATTGTAAAGCCTTTCTGAGAAAAGTGATCCTGTGAACAAAAGCATGCAACCATTTTTACCTCAAATTTTTACCATAACAAGTTGAGAAATACGGATTAGGGCTCCTGCCCTCAGGCTGAAGACAGACGTTTTTAGCTACCTCCGAATCATAGCGGAATCACTTTATACTTGGCTCTCTTTTCCCTAAAGCATCTTACTTCTTACCTGCTCCAAATCAGCAAGAGTTGAAAGCAAATGGGAGAGTTAGAAAAAATGGTGTATACCTTGAAAGTGCCTTAAATGCATTTTCCCAAGGCCTATCAAAATGCCCTTGGAATTCGTTGTGAAAATTTGACCACATCCTAGTTAGCATGAGGTTAAAATTAACAGCAACATGTGTTTTAGGGATCTCAATTTGCCAAATATTAATAGAGTTCATGGGCAGTTAACTGCAATAAGAGGAGGAAATGAAGTTTATAGTGCGGGGCTCCGGGGATTACAGCCTTCCTCACCCCTGAGCACATTCACGTCCCAAACTTGACATAGGATGAAGGGAGGCACAAAAACATGGGGGAGGAAACCCCGAGGTTACAGAATGGGTCTCCTCTTCTCTCTTGAAAGGACCTGACATACCTGGCTGTGGCTTCCCCAGCCTTGGCTCTGGCCTGCCATTTGGAGCTTATGATTCATTCAGAGCTGCACACACGGACCCTGTAGATTCACAGTGCTGCAACGTCGCACTCACCCGTCCCATCGCTGCTCTGCAAATGCGGTCTTTGCTGGATTTGGGTCTCCATTGAGCTGCTGAGGCAAAGCAGTCACAGGAGACATCCTCGGTTGAGTCGGGAGACATGAATTTCTTTGCATACTCGGGTGCTGACTTTTGTGAGACCACAAGGAAGAACCCATGTCCTACACCTCTGCAGGGCCAGCGGACTGAAAAACAACAGGGCTGGTTTTACCCCTTAGTCTGTATTTGAATGCCATTCTCGTCCTTCGTGATACCAGATTCAGATATTAGAGCCAGGACCAGCCACAGAGAGCAGGTATAATCACAGTAGCTATAAAGATAAGATTTCATTCAAAGACTGCATAGACGCAGAATGATTGGAGAGTATCCCAGGCAAAGCTAAGTCTTGCAGCAAAGGCCAGGGTTGTGAACAGCCAAGGACTAATTTGGAGAGGGTGTGGAAGGCAGGTGAACAGGGAGAAGAAGAAAACACAAAAGAACTGGGACCACCTTAGGACGCACTGCAGTCTCTTGGGAGGGGCCTCACTGGACTCAGAAATCTGTGGCTGACCCAGACCCTCTCTGAGAGGTCCTCCTGCCCTGTTGGCATTCTTGTGACTAAGATGCAACTTCCTCCTCCCAGCTGGGAGCTGTCCTCATGCCAGTTCCTGTCGCGGTGGCTCTGTTACCTGTCTCTGCCACATCCACTTTTTCTTAGGGTCCTCTTCCAGAAAGCCTCCAGGGAAGGGGTCTGGGGTGGAGGGTCTCCAGTGGGTTGATGGAGGAAATCTTTCATCCTCTTCAGATTCAGATGTCCGGATCTTCTGTGCATCAGGGGCAGCAGCCAAGCACCAATCTGCCTGCTCATGGAAAGGCTAGGCCGGAGCCCTGGGCCACCTTATGACCCACTGCCTGGGGCTGACAGCCACGTATTTCCATTAGCTTCTGACACTTTTGCCAAGGCAAGATCAGAGACAGAGCACTCCCTAGCTAACCATGCTGACATCCCAAGTCCTGACCTGGCCCATAGCAATAAGCGCTGACTTGGTCTTTCTTAGTCATGAACTTCTATATTTTCAGTATCCCAGGCTCCCCAGGACCACTGCTGTGCCAAAATTAAGCCCATTTACCTGGCCAGTTGAGATCCTGGACTTTGCAGGAACCTGGATTCTTTGGCTGCTGCTGGCCATGGATTACCTCTTGAAGCAGCGCAGTCTCTGTGCAGGTTTTGGGTCCCCTTGTGTTGCAGGTTCCTGTCCCCTGAACATTCTTTACAAGTTACTTCTACGTAAACTGGACTTCTCACTCTTGCCTGCGGGCAGTGGGAGTAATAATGAACCCAGAGAGGCATCAGAAATTGTTAGCTATCGTGGAGACCTTGCTTTACTCTCCTTAGAGAGCTCCTGGAAAGCGAATTTCACGCTGCTAGCTCATATCCCTCAGGGGAATCGTTTGGTAAGTACTTGATAAAATGTTCTAGACATAGCCAGTTGCCGTGGACCTCCAGAACACTGAGACACTGAGGAAACGCCTAAGGGTTGTTTGTTCTTTCATTTGCTTGTTTTCATTAGCCTTCGCACAAATGCTGTACTCTCTTTAATTGTGCACATTCTGGATCTGAGATTTCCTGTTCTTAAGGCCCTTAGTTTATCTACACACAGTTCTTGGCGAGACATAATTTGTTTTCTAAAGAGAAAGAGCATGTGCCGAGGCACTAGACCACAGGCACAGCCCTGTGCCCTTTCTGTGGACTTCATCTTGCCCAGTCCAAAGCAAGAGAACCATTTGAGGGCTCAGCCCCAGTCAGGGGAACGTGGAACTGTTTCTCAAGACTAGTCCTGGGCCACAAGAAACCAGGCGGATTTTAAGTATCTGGATATCTGCTGGATGGCGGGTCTCTCAGCCCCATACTGCCATCCTCAGTGAGCAGACTGGGCAGTTTTGACCCAGTGACACTGGTTGGCATTGAGCTGTTGGAACCCCTTGGAGCCCGTGAGTTGGACACCAAGCCATGCCCACTGATGATTCTGCCTCATTACTTAAGACACGAGTAGCACTGGTTTTCCCAGTGGAACTACGTAACTGGTGTCCTGGTGCACTTCAAAGCCAGCAGACCGCAGATGGCTTCTCACGAGTTCGGCTGTGTCGAGTTTCTCATGATCAGGGTATGAGTTTTGTCTTCCTCACAGAACCCAAGAGGTCAGAGTTGATGAGAAACACCATCCTGGATAGCTGATGTGTCGAGAAGAGACTCCTGTAATCCTAAATAACTCAGGTCTCGGCCCCTTGGCCTGCGTGCAAATGCAGGTAAGAGCCTCTCCAATTCTGATGCTGAGTCTGCCACCCTTTCTGCTCTTTGGTGGGTTCCTGACAGCAGTCCAGCTCCCTGTGAAGCATTCTGCAGGTGCCAAGGCCCTGAGGGCTGTGAGAGAAGGGTCCCAACAGCAGAGACTTCTCAGCGGTGAGATAAAAACAAAATCATGTTGGTTTCACAGTAGGCAGCTTTGGCTTCTGAGCCCTGGTCTACCACAGTGCTGGGATCATGAGTCAATTTACTTTATTTCCCTTAGCCGTGATATCTTCACCAGTTAAATAGGGATGGTAATATGTATCTTAAGGCATCACTGTGAGAATTAAATGTGGCCATGTTTATAAAATATCTATGCAGAATTTGGCACACAGTAAGTGTGTAATACATAGATGCTATTACTACAATTAAAAAGTATGCAGAAGATTGGGGGAGTTACTTAATCATTTTCTCTGGATCTGAGAAATTTCAGGTAAAGTTCCAGTACAGTCTGGTTAGTTCTAGAAAAGTCTGTAACAAAACTGACTGATTTCTTACAAGCTCCAGTAGAACTAAGAGAATGCCCCAGAGTGGGCAGAAGAAAGGGCTGAGTTCAGGTCTTCTTTGTTTTGTGGGTGAGTCTTCACTGTGATATGTGTGGGGTGCACAGTCACACCGGGATGCTAACACTTGCACACGTGTCATGCGAAGCTCTCCGTGTCTGCTGGATCTGAGATTTCCTGTTCTTAAGGCCCTGTGCTTTGTCAAAGGAGAAAAAACTGGTATTTGGAGCGTGTCAAATCCTAAGTCATCAAAAGCATTTGGGTTACCCCTCCCGCCCCCCCATGCTGCTTCACCAGGCGCAGATGGGGCTGAACCCAGAAGACTCAGCTCGATTTCAAACTCAGAACCCAGGAGGTCAGAGTGGGTTCTATCAAGGAAAATCACAAGCTCCCTGTGCTCACCAAAACAAAACATATTCCGGGAGAAGGAGACGGCCAAAAGGCAAGCACAGCAGTTTCTAATATTTTTCCACCCGACTTTTCTTAATTAGTGTTGACTAGCTTAACGAAGCAATTAAGGGACTTATTTGCTTTTTAAATCACATGTGAAATTTAAGAAACCTTGAAATGGAAGAAATATTTGTCCCCAAGATCTTACCCCACAAGGGATATCAGGTGGACTGTTCTCCAACCACTAGAAAGTGAGAACAACTCGCCCGCTCCACACGAGGCCCAGCCAAACAGAGGTCGCGGTGGCCGGCTCTGCACGTAGGAGCTGCAGTGGGTTCTTCTGAAACACACTGCTAAGGTTGCCACTGAGAAGGAAAAAAATGACGATTCGTTTTCCCTAATAACTAACTTTAGAAATAAAATAGGTAAGGACAGCTGCCGAGTATTGATTACATTGCTTACTTGCTAGCAGTTGTGATGCTATTTCAGTTTAAATCTATCAATCTTCCTCCCTCCTCTTTTTATAAGAGGAAGAAAATAGGGGCCGAGGAGAGATCAGCAAACCCAAGTTTAGGGTCCAGGATAGACAGAACTAAGACTTTGCACTGGAGACAGGGGAGATGTAGATTGTTTAGTGGTTATATAATATATATATATATATATATATATATTTATATTTATATTTATATTTATATATTATGTGTGATAATTACATGCATACTTAGTTACACATACTTGTAAGCTCTATATAATCTGGTAGTGCTAAAATATTATTTTAATAAATAACACATAGATATTCTGTATCAAAGGATGCTATGACAGTTATTGTGATGAGTTTGATTATTAAATAAAGGATTTATGAGATAATAAATAAATTGCTTCACCAGAGTCTCATGTAGCGTCTAGCTGTTGCAAACTGCCATTTCCTGCTCTCCGCGTGTTGGGAACAGTGTGACCTACTGACGCATCACCACTTCTACACCTAAAGTCTTGGAAAATAAATTGAGGCTTAAGTGACATGTTTTATTTTTTTGTTTTTCTTTAGAGACACAGATCTGGTAAAGAGCCAGGGATCAACTCTGATTTTCTCTGATTTTAAATAATTGGGGTTTGTGTATCAGATCATATAATCAGGCAGAAAAGAGAAAGCAATTAAAAAAGGGGGGAAATCACATCTTTTTGGTGCTTGTGGCGGAGGACATCGTGGAACACGCCAAGTTTTCTCGAAAGGCAAAGGGATCCAGCCCTGGCGCCCACTCCGCCGCACACTGGTCCTCTTGTGCATTCCGCCCGCTCTCCCCAGGGCCCCGGGGAAGAGGGGTGATTCGGGGCGGCAGCCCACAACACGGGTCCCCATGCGGCTGCGCGTGCAGCAACGCGAGGGCCATTCTGGTGTCACACCCTGTGACCAGAGTCCACGCGTTCAGAGCGCTCCCTCGGGTCCAGCCTGTTTTCCCTTTGGCTTTAAGATCACAGGCTAAATGCCCGGCTCTGAAAAGACAGATGGGGCGGATGTCCCAGATGGACACTGCGGAAACGGTGCCAACAGAGGGAAAGCGTGGGCTTCCAGGGAGCCTTCTGAGCTGTTTACCAAACAGGGAGAACTGTTTATATTTCACATATCTCCCGGAGCCCATTTATGAGCTCCACTTACAACTTCAAACAGGCGAGTTGGCAGAGATGTGGCAGGCGAGATAAGACGGAGACGTATTCATGGTCTCGCAACAGTTTCAACACCCAGATCTACAACTATCTTTATTTTTTCCCTAACCACCAACATTTATTTTCAAACACAAACAAGCTTTTAAGTATTTTTTTAAATGTAGTTAATAGGTTTATCTTGTTCCTGGCAACATTTCCTCATCTTGCTAGGGTTATAAATAGGGTATTCCACTTGGCAAGAGTCTTGGTCATGGCACCGGGGAGAGGGCTCTATAGTTACTCTAACAAAACAGCACATAGTTGGCATATTTCTCCTCCATTTCCTAACACTCCACTGCCATGTGCATTCTTCTCATTTGATTTACTCTGAAAGTTGCCTGTTCCTCTGATGCATACCAGAGACTTGGCTACTTGGAGATTTGGACAAAAAATCAGAGAGTGAGAGAGAGACGAGAGAGAGACAGAGAGAGACAGAGAGAGAGAGAGAGCTGACAGCAGCATTCTCCCCATTTCTCCTCTCCGACAGTTAGTACTGGAAATTGTGCACCGTTTGTTAGCACGGTTTAAGATGGCTTCTTTAAGGTCGCCTTCAGTTTCAGGACCTCAGCATTCTGGGTAGATAGATCGTTCAGTGTCGGCTCGCTAATACTGGTAACTGCATTACTTTCTTGGATTTATATATTTATTTTCATGCATTCAAATGCTGCGTAGAAAATACACGATTCCATATCTTGTGTATGTGTACACACATGTACACATTCATGCAATAAAACTCAACTTCCAGTTTTGAAAACACAATGAAGTGTTTTTGAAAACCCGTAGTTAAACCCCTTTCAGTTTTTTATTGCTAATATTTTAAAGAAATGTGAGGTGGTGAATTTGTAAGAAGACAAAGTGCTAGAAAATGACGTGTCTTAACGGTGAAAGAGTTTTCACTGTTGTAACATGAAGAAATAGGGGAGTGCAAATCCTTCAAAAAATAATTTAGTGGCCCCAAGTTGCTGGTCTTCGCTTTCCCTTCCTGTCTAAAATAAGAAAGGAGACAGGTTTTGTGGATAGTCACAGGGGCATTAGATGTGTCGCAACAAATTCTCAAAACGGAGACATTTGGAGGAGGCCGAGCGCGGATACCTGGAGCACCAGAAAAATGCAGTTTGTCTTCATCGTGCATGTTAGCCGCCATGCGAGTTTCTGTCAAGGAAAAGCTGCATGGCTGATACTCCTTTCTGAAGCTCTGAGTGTTTTGCTCACACCCCTGGATAATAAAGAAAAGCCAAGTCACTGGGTAAGCTCTGGGCCACAGCGCATGGCAGGTGGGTCTATGTGGTGCCCATTAGGCCCACACACATCTCTGTGTAAGGATTCATCACCACTAAACAACTTAAGACAAACGATTGATCCGTCAGTGGATGGAAAACATTGATGATGGGTTGGTGGTTTTGCGGTAAGGGGCTTTGCTCTACTGTCTTACCTTTTTCTTTTGGAAAGTATCATAGAAAAATTATTTATCATGGCCAGGACCAGCTTTTATGTGTGGCTTCAATATTGGCATCCTAGATCTGTAGTATTTCGAATCCATGTCTACTTTTACTGAATGCCTTACCCATGGTTCAGACACCTAACGAGGCTGAATAAGAACATCATTTCTTTTGAATTTGAAGTAATGCAGATAATATATTTGGTGAAGTTTCAGGATTTTTAAGCTCCAAGTGTTTTAGAGATAGAGAAATATTTGAAGAGTCTGATAAACTAAAATAAACACACTTACTTGCACACATGAACAAAAGCCAAAACATTTTTCATTCTCACCTGGTTACGCGTGCTGTGTTTAAGTGACAGGATATTCACTCTGGCCAGTTTTTGTCACTCTACTCATTTAGATTCCCAAGCCTAGCAGATTAACACGACTGTCACCAGCGTGGCAGGCACAGCAATCCTTGCGTGAGGCACATTTCTGGGTACCAGATACTGAGGCGGAGATGAGGCAGAGGCAGGGCTTTGACAGTGAAGGAGTCATGAGCGGAGCAGTGCGATCTAAAACTCTGCTCTTCACGCGCTGAGCAGCCACATGGGCTCCGGCTTCCCCTCTGACACCTCTTCTTGCCCCTTGAGCTGACTCACTCTGCGTCTCCCTCCAGGCGGCAAGGCCTCCCTCCTCTGGGAGATCTGGACTCCTGCACAGCTCACCACACCTCTTTCAGTGCTCTCCCCACTAATCCTGTCCAGAACTGGGGCCCGGCCACGCGTGCACTTTGAAGTTAAAATTCACTAAAACACACTGGTCATCCAGTTGCTAGGCAGGCCAGCCGGCCTTCCAAGCTGGCCCACATGTGGCAAAGGCTAACTTTTGAGATGATGCTCAGGATAAAATAATCCCTGTGTTCAGTGAGGTCTATGGGTCGGCT